ACTTTGGCATATGTCCTATGGTCATGATCGATGCGATCTAAGGTAGTATGTTGAGAAAGCGACTGATTCATTTCAAAGTGATACTTGGGCGAAAGGAAGATTAACTATGATATACACACCTATGCTAGTGTCTGTGACATGTCCCTTATGACATTTTGTGGTCATAAGTGTGGATACTAGACATACGAGAAAGGTAATCTGAGTCAACCATTGACTCGAGAGGGATTAGATTTACCGTGAAAAAGTGTATATAAGTAAATCTGGGACATCTGAGGCATAATTTTAAAATTCAAGCTACACAAAGGAGAGGGTGACTTGTGCTGATCCTTTAAAAGGGATTTCTAGTACAGGGACCCAAGCGAAGACGTCATGCCCACGCGGTCACGGCAAAGCACTAAGTATGAAATTGAGGGAAGGTGAAGAGACTAGACCCGCGACATCTAATCCACCAAGTGTGAGTGGGAGATGTAAGAAAATGGGCCAGTCCACCCTTGGTGGATTGGACCCAAGCCCAATTATCATTTGGGGTCCTGATGAGAATAGCAAAAATTATGGGTATCTAACTGTAATTTTTGCCCTTTCATATATTTTTGCCTAAGAGCGGGAACGGTTGGACGAGGAGGCAGTTTTCCTTTTTTAAATGGGACGTGTAGTTACAAAACCGTCGCATGATCAGTTGGTATATACACTACGGTTTTCTCCTCCTCTTGAGACTACTCATTTTTCTGGACTCCATTGCTCACCTTTTCCCTCCTGGTGCATTTGCTGTGAAAACACAGACCCGACTCCGTCACCGTGATCGGACCTCTGCGTGGCAACCTGATTACATTGCAGACTCCAGGTATGCCCGAAAACCTACAGATATAAACAGTAACTTAATCAAAATAGGTATCAAGACAAGTACTAGAATCATCACATACCTTGATCTTGAAGCTTGAATCTTGTTTCTTTTTCTTGGCCTTCACCCTCACGTTTTTCTCTCTAATTTTCTGCAAAGTTTTCCATCTACAAATGCTTACAAAAATGCTCTTCCAAGACAAGTATTTATAGCCAAAACTTATACCTTGAATGGACCATTATGCCCTTGAATACTAGTAGAAATTGTAAGGGCAAACTTGGAACTTTAAGTGCACTTTTACATCATCAATGCATCATCTTAATAAGTTCTATTATCTGCATACATTTCTTGTCCTAGACTTATACTTTTGTCATTCATAATTGCATATTTTGGTTATAATTAGTCTTCATTATGCATAGGAGTTGGTGAATAGGATTGTGAGGTTTTATACGTGTTTTTGTATGTTTTGTGTGATTTTGTATGTGTGCGCTTTTGATCCCTTGGTTGGCGTGCATTACAGGTAGCTTTATCAACATCCAAGGACCATTCTGCTTGAGTTATAATTATGCTTATAACAAACAATACTACTAGTGCAAGAGCATCTTGATTAAGAGTGTAAGCATCTTCTTTATCAAATTCACATGTGAAAATAGTTTCTTTAACTTCAACATTATTATCATCTCTAGCACTACAAAGAGAAGCATGGTGGATATTTGGATAGTCACATAGGGATATGGCAGTAACATATTCACTACTAGAAGTAATAGGTATAGCATTTTCAAACATATGAGGTGACTCAACAATTATTTCCTCATCAGCCTCATCTTCACATGCTGCATTAATCAAAGTAGTAATTAAAGAAGGATCAACTTCTTCAACAATAGGAGATACATTATCGAAAGGAGAAGGAGATTCTGTTGGAATTTGAAGATGGACTCGATTTGCCTCCTCTTTTTGCATGGGTATGTCAAATGTAGGTTTTGGAGATGGAGTTTCTTGTATAGTCTTCATGAGAAGCTCATCCATTTTGTTTATTTTGGGTGCAAATTCTCTCATTCAGTCATTTAATTTTTGTAGGTCCATCATTACCGTATCTAAAAGAGATTCTTGGCGTGGCACACTTGGTTCATAAGGTGGTTCATATGGGATGAAAGGAGGCTCATAATGGTGGGATTCATAATGGGGTCTATGTGGTGGAAGGGGAGGTTCATGATAGGGTTTTTGGGTTGGTTGACTCACTCAGATGGTATATTGGTAGTTGTCTATAGCAGCTATCCTAGGAATCTCCCAAGCTTTGTCAATAGCTAGATCCAACAAGTCTCCTTTTGCTTCATCATCTATTATTTTTCGGTCTTGCTCTTTCAATCCCTTATGAAAGTATAATATAAGTTGCTCCTCAAGGATTTCGTGATATGGATACTTATCCAAAAGACCCTGGAATCGGTTCTAATATTCAAAAAATGGTTCATGATTATTTTGTGCAATAGACGAAATCTGTAGTCATGCTTGAGCTCTTAAAGTACTATAACTTGTGAAAGAATGAGAGGGCATGGTTAGATGATAATTAAAATGGTAATTATTATTATACCAAGCCATGAAAGTATAATCAATTATAGTGAAAATTCTTGATCCTTAGTAACTAATGTACATGACACCAAAAAAGGAAAAAAATGAAAAAAAAATAAAGAAAAGTTGAAAAAAAATTTTGAATTTGACAAATTTCAATTAATTAATGTTTATTAAAAATGCTTAGAACATCAAGAACATGCAAAATGAATATTTCTGAATTTTTTCTTAGCACGTTCGAAAATAGTTCCAGCAAGTACTAAGCACAGACACAAAAATTACCAAACCCAAAAAAAAAAAATAAGACTCTACTACACACTAAGGAAAAAAATAATAAGATATACAGGTAGATAAGAAATATCACGTTTTCACAGTTAAGAAGTCAAAACAAACTTGGCTCCCCAGCAAGGCACCAAAATTTGATCGCCCTGTCGTGTAAGCTCTCAAATTAATTAACTAAATTAACCCTATATAGTATAGAGGTCAACCTAAGTCGTATGAGGAGCTTTGTTAAAATTTTGAAAACCTTTTTAATTAAGAAAAACGTGATGTAAAGAAGGAAGGAGTAGGAAAGAAAATTGATTGGTTTTTTTAAGAAAATAAATTGGGAAAAATAATAAAAAATAACAGTAAGTAAAAGAAAGAGAAAGAAATGAAGACTTTTACCAGAATGATGCACTTCCCAAGGATGTTGATGAGTGGCTATCACGGTTCAAAAAGATGAGGAATTTGTATAAAAACAATTACTAAGTCAAAAAAAAAAAACCTAGATAACATCTAAGTCATGATTAATTAATTAATAATTATACCTAGAGAATTAGCACATAATCACCTTTCAATTAATCATTTAAAAACCACTTAGTTGTGAATTCAATAAAACAATTATATCTTGTTCCCAAAGAGAGTTACCTATCTAAAACCCTAGAGCATGAACTACCTGTGCAAATCAAAATAGAAATCTATAAAGATAAACACTCATAGAATAACTGAAAATATATTTATTAAAAGCTTTAAAATATAATTGTTCAACTGAAACACAAATTAAATATTAGTCCACAAAAGAAATAAAAATCCTAACCTAGGACATTCATAAACACAATGTACTAGTAGATTGAAATAAGAAAACTAACAAACTCCCTAATATAAACAGGAACTCAAGCAACGTTATCTTGTCCTCAGGAACAAAGAGGACTAGTTACACATATGGCTAGATGACACTATAATGATAAAAAGAAAATAATGAAAAGAAGACAGTGAAACAACTGGACACAAGAGGAAGCAAAGTGTATGCCTGTTCTTGTGTAGTGTAGATGGCTCTGTTGCTTCTCCAAGACTCCCTTGATCTCCTTTTATAGTTTTTAAATCTCTCCTAGTTGGATGAAGAAACCCTTGAATCTTCTAACTTGATCTTTTATCTTCTTTTATCTTATAATCTTGATAGAACTTTGAATTTGAATTCTCTTGATTTGGTATGATCTTCATGGCAACCATAGTAAAAAAGCTTTTGAATTTAAATGATATTGGATAAAAAGATAATATTTCAAATTTGAATAAGGATATGGTGGTAGGATGAATTAGAGTCAGAGTTTATAAAAAAGATAAAAATAATAATGTGAATATTTGGATAAAAATGATAATGTGGATATTTGAAAAATTAAATGGATAATAGAATATGAATAAAATATTTATTCAAATTCAAAATACGATAAGGGAATTATTCATAAAAGAAATTAATCATTCAAGCTCTTTAATTTATAGTGGAAGAGATATTCTGGCTATATATTTTGGATGATTTCCAATTAGATAATTAGAAAATCCTCTTGTAATGCCACATGACTACCACAAATGTAGTTTTCCAAAGGGTCTATGTTTTGCTTGACAGAATATTTCATAGAATCAAAGCAAAGATACCTTTCAAAAGAAAAATTATTTTTAAACAATTAATTCATATAATTTTCTTAAATCAAAATATGAGTATCTATTGCATTTTAAACCCTTCCAACATTATAGAATCCCTTAATTATACATAAAAATATATTATAAAATAGGGATACATCACTACTCCTATGTAGCTATTGGTTACATAAAAGAAATAAATAGCTAAACAAGAATAGTCACTAATTCTTTTTTAAAAAAAAAAAAAAGGAAAGAACCATAGCACTAGATTGCAAGATTTTAAGATTCTAGAATAGTAAATTTTTAAATTTATCTTTGTATTCTTTTGTCTTTTTTTCTAAAATTTATATGAAAATATAAAAATTAAAAAAAAATTTCCTTCCCTATCTCCCATGAGATTTAGTTGACCTCAAACCCCACCCAAAAAAAAAAAAATCATTTAGTGCAAATTTGATCTTACGGGGATTTAACATAGGAGAGAGGAAGTGGGGGTTGTAACATTTAGTGCCATGAGTGAGCTACCGAACTCATGATTTTAAGGCACAATGAAATGCAACGGGGGGAAAGACGATTTTCACTATATAAATAACCCTCACATCCTTATTAAAAAAAAAAAAAATACTTGAAATACCAGAAATTAACAATTTATATGCGTTGAACTCGGTCATGTCTCATAGAATGGTTTTGCAAATATAAAAGATATTTTAAAGTGCAACATGCTATGAATTCTATGATATTCATGTATTACTTGCATGTCACAACATGGCATGTAAGATCCTGCATATCCCCAGCAAATGACAGAAATCTTCAACAAGCCACAATTGTTTCTTCATACAGTTTATGAAAAATGCATATTCATCAATCAATTTACTGTAAAAAACCTTCAGCATGCGCACATGTTCAACTGATACAGAAACTTGTGGCTTCAGCAACTCCATACCAAATATCAATATTCATCATGGCATGACAGATTTCGCAAATGCACATAAATATTCTCCATAGCAGAAGTCAAAAGCCAGACAAGGCAAAGTGGACTGGTTTATATTCCAGCAATTATCAGGCCACTTGCGGTGGTGATGCTGATTTTTTCCTCATAACCCAAAACGCAGCAAAATAACGGTTCTGCAGAGACCATCAGGCTAAAGTTTTTAATGGATGCAGTATTGAAGAATAGTTATGATCTGAGTGGATGACAAGAAATATCAAATTTAAGCCCCCAATTGAGATCATCCGACGATAGATCTGCTTCATTTTGTTTCTACCAAAAAGGGGCCTATTTGGTTTAACCTCCGACCATAATGTCTTGAAAAAAATTTAATTTTCGATTGATTTAATATTTGGTAAATTATTGTTTATCCCGTGGCTTAAAAGCATATTATCCAGCTGCCCTGTGGCTACGTCCATAGCCGCTTAATTTTGACAAAAATAATCATGTAAAACTCAAAACGATGACAACATTTCAATGTAAAAACTCAGGTATTGTTAATCATTCTAACGGTTTCAAAGCCTCTCAAAGTTACAAACTGACATTTCATATTGAAAAGTTCTACTTTATTTCAATGATTGGCTGGAAACATAGAAGACATGAGTCAAATAGACATTTAATGTTGAAACGATAAATCATTTTAATATTCACATGATTATTGTTTGCAGAAGCTTAGATAAACTATCACTACGGCACTAGGAGGTGGAGGAGTAAGCGGACAAACTACAAGGTTGTTGAATGACATACTACAAAACAAGAGGCAGACCAATACCATTTTAGCCAAGCTACAGGTGATATACTGTAACTTATTCTTAATATATAGAAATTTCTAATAAACAGCAACATTATAATCAATAAAGCAGTAGGGAAATTTGTGGTTGAGCCACCAAGCTTTTAAAAAAAAAAAAAAAAGGGAAGAGAAAAGGGAGCCTGGAATTGGTGATCCATGTAAAGAGATATAATCATATTAGCCTCATTTTAGATGAACAGGAGGAGAGAAGACCACTAGAGCTAGGGACGGAGGAAGTAGTTAGAAGCTTACTTGCATCATTGATCTAGGATTTGTAGTGTAGGTTGTCTCAATGGTACTTTCTTTCTGCAGTTCATGGTAAGACAATGGAAGCATGATTAGTCATTTGTATAAATAAAAGAAGCAATAACCAAATTGGTTAAGCATACCTCAAATTCAAATCCATAATGCAGAGCAACCCCTTTAACGTCTTCCAAACTCAATTCAATGGACATGTCCTGCAGATAAATATCAGAATGGGAATATATTCCACCCATGTGGCAACATATGCAGGTCAAAAAGTGTTCCCCAAAAAGAATAAGTGGAAGCCAAAAGCATGATGATAATAAAATCTTACATCTTCTTGTCCATACATCTCTGCAAAGTGATAAAGGAGAGGACCCAAGTTAATCCAAACCTGTCATGATGTTACCATTAGGAAGGAAACCAATTATGTGATCATGACATCAGACGGGAACAAAGGGAATAGCAGAAAGAAGATACTCCATCTGTTCCTTTTATAAGATATCTTCTAAAAGGCTTTGATGTTCCTGTATATAAGATGTTTTGCAAAATATAGGCAGTAATTAGTATTTTTCCAAAAATTCCCCAAAAAATAGTGTTTTCAATTACTTTTTTTTTTTTTTTTGGGGGGCCCCGCCCCCGGGGGGTAATTTGTGTGTGGGGGTGATTGTAATGACGGGTACTTGTGGAATAATGAGGCAAGGTTAAAGAAAACTAATTTTCTTGGTTTGTGCAAAGTAGGTATCTTTGTTTTGCGAAACGGAACGGAGGAAACACAATAGATCTTAACAGAAGGTAGGAACTTACTCCCCCGTTTCTCAAAATTTGTGATATTATTTCGATATATTGAACTATATTATGAGCAGTATCAATAAAGAAACAGGTCACAACTGCATCCCAAGCACCTGTACAGCAAATGTGAGCGCCATAAGGAATTGAAATGTCTTCTATTTTTGTGTTGATATGAAATATATATGAATTTGAACTATAACCTTAACATCAATTTATACATAAGATCTACAGAAATTTGGATTTGTATCTCCTAAGAACAAAGCCCTTTTTCTTGTATTTAAGATGCCACCTCTAACAACTAATAAGAAAACTGGTTTAAATCTTATATTTACTGAGAGTATTCAAAACAAATATGAAAGTGCAATCAAATGAGTTCCCGATAGAAATTTAAATGGCACGGATCTTTAAATTCAAGTAGTTTGATTTCTTTTCCTGGGACATTAGAAGTTATGTCACAATTCTTCAGCATTAGCTTAAGCCTTAAAAAAAGCAAATCAGAGATCTGCAAAAGCCAAAAGCAAAGATACATAAATGTGTATTATGCAGCATTCAGCACTAAATGGCAGCCAGTATTCGCTAATCCTGCAGACTACAAGTTCAGGGAAGATTAAATAAGAAATATTGCTGTGTCTATGTTTCGGTTCCTTTGAAATGAAGTGAAAAATGAAAACTATAAAGAGAGAATATTTTGGACAGCCCCGATGCTGGCGTTCTATGTCTTATTAAGATTGATTAGCTTGCAATACAATCAATGTGGGAACTGTAGTTTCCCTATATAAAGAAAGGAGATAAACTAACAATTCTAACTTAAACAGATGCCTGCACGGTCATATTCACACACACACACAGACACACACTGAGTTATGCTATACATCCTACCTATTTGACTTGGGTCACTGTAGACTTCAATGAAGTCACCACCACACATGGAAAAGCCTTCAGTGATTCCTGCACTGCTTCCCAGTTGATATGGACGAAAAATAGAATTAGCAAAGTTATAATTAAAAAAATTAAACAGAAATGTATTTATATTACGTTACTTGTATAAGGAAACCATTTCTTGTCATCATGTGACCATAGGAATCCACAATTTCGAACGGATTTTGCAATTCAAAGTCAAAAACAGATGACAGGTAACTAAGCACTGTAAGGAAGAACAATTTTTAGCATTATTATTGGTCAAGGCATTTTCCTTGTATTTGATGCCACATCAACGATCGCATTTAATAAATAAACAATATGAAGAGAAAGTAAACAGTTCTCGTGGCAAACATCTATATAAGTGGCCAGCGATACAACACCCCCCCCCCAAAAAAAAAAATGCAAGTAATAAAATATTATGGGAAAACCAGAGTGACTTGGTAAAGGGATCTAATTAGTTTATAGAAAATCAGCGATGTTAAAAAAAGAAAATGTTTTTGTTGGAAACATATGATTCCCTCTTGAGAGATTTAATTTTAAACATAATTTTTCTCACTTAGCATATAGCACATTAATTATATATCAAGACTAATCAATCAATTATTACTTTTACATATTATTGATGCCATTTGTTGAAAACAATGGGCCACTATCTAATTGAACAAGTTGGTCTAATTGCCTATACTCGATACCTTCTCTCAGTCAATCTTCCCTAGAGCAAGAAAGGGACAAAGTCTAAGTTGGAGTGATCAACTTAATCGTCAGTAACACTAAAAACCTGTTTTGGTAAGGAAACTCTTTAGACATCTAAGGACAAAGTAGTATTGAAACTTACATAGCTTTTGAAAAAGGGAGAAAGTAGGACAGCCCAGATTTCACATCAATGTAAGTACCTGGCAGGATGAATATCTGGAATTGAAACAGGACGGAGTTGATCACTATCTGACAAAGAATTACAATTACTGTGTATCCAAGGATATATTGTCCATTCACCGGCAGTTTGGGTGCTTATATGATCCATCACGCCAATTTATTGTTAACAGAAAAGTCAGAGGCAGAAAAAAATGGTATCAGAACATAAATCTTTATTTAGCGAATTAACAACGAATAAAAATTCATAACACAGAGGTTAATAAGGATCGACAGTTCAATATCCTTACTGGTTAAGAATAAAACTTGAGCATATCATCATGTAGTATGAAAATTCATTTCCCTGGCTGATAAATCCTGCACCGTGGCATGAAATAATAGATATGGTAAAAGCATATAACAATGTAAATCCAACAAGATCCTAGTGATATGCACACACCTAAGCATGAAATCTCCAGAGCCAGCCGACCAAGTCCAGCACCAGGAACTAAACAGGCAGGTGGGCTGTTTGAAAATTTTCATGATTTCAGTGAGCTACAAATTTTTCAAACAAACTTCAAGTTGGATAAGAACTCTCTCCAGACAAGAGCTTTAGATAGAAGTATTATTGGCGCACCTCTCTTTACTGCGATTAGGAAACAACACGTCAAGTTCCTCAAGTATAGGCTTGTAGCATTGATCACGTTCCTTTTGACCCTGACATAATACCAAATGCAGAAGATAAAATGGAACTCTAGATCAAGTTTTGCCTTTCAAAATTACACTTCAAATTCAATAGACAAAAAAGCAGTACCTCTGCTGCCCAGTCTCTGACTATATTCCTTATTATACAGCGCACCTGAGACCAAGGCAGTATCAAAATAGATAGAAGTGGAAACAAGATGAAAAATTAATCTTTAAAGATCACCAATGAACTAGAATCCCTCTGTTAAGAAATACTACAAATATAAGGATTTCATATGGCAGTAATCATACAATTTCAGACAAACAACGTCAGAGAAATGTTAAGAAATGCTGGTTAAAATAGAGCATGATCAAGTGAACAGTTACTATTTAAAGTTTCAGACCATTCAGAAACTTACGAGATGCAGAGATGAACTCCCACTCTTCCTCCTCAGTAAGAGTTCCAGACCAAGAGTGGATGTAGCCAGTTGATTTGCTATACGGATTAAAAGAGCAGTTTTCTAGGGGAACAAAATTACTAACTAAGCACACACATTTTTCCCCAAAAATTCTCTCTTCAGATGGGAGCAAAGAAAATAGGGGCAGAGAAAATGGAGAGGAGAGAAAACTTGAGAAAATCTTGGGGGAAAATGTACTAGGTCCCACCCCTCATTTTTCCTCCTATTTTTCATTCCTTCCATTTTCCCCTCCTCATACAAAAAAGGAAAAAGTTGGTGGTGGAGGTATTGTTATGTGATTATAATTATAAATAAGAAAATATTTAAATATGATATAAATAGGATAAATAGGGCTTAAATGATATTAGTAGAATTTAAATAGGATTTAATTATATTAGTAGGATTTGGATGGATTAGGATATCTAGATAATATTTAGAAGATATTAGGATATCTATTTAGATTTATATCTATTAGGGCTTTTGCTTATAAAGTTTGCAATGTGATATGATTGAAGTCATTCAATTTCTCTTGGTCTCCTCTATTTCTCTATTTTCTCTTTCCTCTCTCTCTCTCTCCCCCTATTTCTTTACTTTCCATAACAGTTATCTTCCCTCTATTCTCTCTCCCACTTTTTCCTTCCACCCAAAGAGGCCATATGTCATAGCATGACTTATAAACTTTGGAAATCCACATAGGTGAGAACTACATGCTATATGAAACTACCCATGACATATGGGAATCATTTCAAGAAGCCTTCTCTTCTTAAGAAAGTGAAGATGAAGACTCTCAAATTGAATACATCCCACTAGTTTAAGGAAGATGACATGCAAGTCAAACAATGCTCCAACACACTCTCAAAATATTCGCAATAGCTCACTTGATTGGAGATCTACACCAAGAGTTGCTCAATTGATTGCAACCAGCTACAAGAAATTTGTGGAGGAAAGGGACATCTATAGATTTCTGATTGCTCTCCGCAATAAACTCAATAATTTACGGGTAAGAAATCTTGAAAGAACAACTTTAACTACACTAAAAGAATTATTCTTTGTGGAGCTTAGGAGCAACAGAAAGAATCGTCTGACCAGCCATGAAAAGCCTCCAACAGTAGCAATAAAAAAAGTCCGACAAAACCTGGTGTGAACATTGTCATAAGTGGTCACACCAAAGAAAATTGCTAGAAAATATATGGTAAAGCTCTGAATTGAAAGCCAAAGTGAGGGCTAAAGCGAGCATGATACAAACATATTTACCCATAATCAACTTGAGCCGCTCTCTGGCCAAGGGGAAAAAACACAAAAGCAAAAAGCAAAACTCGAACTGCTCCACTGATAGGCACAAAGTGACTTGGCGAACCCTCCTCAAGAACATTACTAAGTTGCGAGAACCAACCCCCCCTCAAAGATGCCATACAATTCAATCTAGGAATGTGGAAAATCCCCATATATATGTATGAATTGAAAAGGCTAAGATGGTTGCTAAGTGTGTGAGGGATGGTTGGCTTTTATGTATTTGGCAATTCCAAAAGTTATACATGAAATACTAGAAATATCCTTATTGGACAGTATGAGATGCAATATTTTTATGTATTTGAAAATTTGAGAACCCTAGCTTATGCCATGAAATTAAACAAGATTGGAAAGAAGAATTCAAGTTCTAATTATTTGGTTTCTTGGTACTCATGAGATATAGGCTGTCCATGCCTTCAGTTGCCAATCATCTTGTTGGATGCCAAGTTCTGCAAACTCCAGCCACTAAGAAATTAATTTTAATAGGGTTGCTTATACACATCAAGCAACAGGTTAATTTAGGGATAAACAGGACCTCTTTCAAGCACAATGCTTTTGATATAGTGATGTTTCCAACAGGTAATCATCAGCCAAGGAGCCCCCTCATTAATCATTACCCTTAACAAATAATGATGATAATGATGATGAGAACAATAACATAGTTTTAGATTATTGGAATTCCTTAAAAAAAAAAAGAAAAACTGGTTCAAGACTGATTTGACCAGTTTTCCACCCATTCACTTTTTAGCCGCACATCTAGGATCATTGGAGGCTCGTTCATCCACTTCTCCAGCCAAATATCCTACTTTCACTTTGCCACATATGTAGACCATCATAGATCTACTCCATGAGATATAATTGTACACATTTAGTTTGGCAAGTAATACATACAGGAGCTACATCGTTTGCCCCTTGATTCAGCTAGCCAACTTTCAGGTCAGGAAAAAGAAAGAAAGAGAGAAGCTAGCCGGCCACTACATGTACTGCTTTAGTGTTACAGGATGTTGCCTCTACGAATGTGAAAAATTCTGGAATTTTTTTTTCATCAAATAATAGCTTTAAGAGCATGCATTACAGGGAGATGAATAAGAGAAATAATTGTGAGCAATAGTGTCCAACAGCTAGACATAAATTTATTTATTTATTTAAAAAAAAAAAAGCAAATAGAAGAATTAAGGAAAGGGTGAATTACATTTAGGTCGCAAGGAAGGAAAACAATCACTAAAAAGTTTTAGGATCGTGACAGATATAACGATTCTCCAAATCCAGACGCTCCCAATTAATTGCAAAAGGATTCTTGCCATTACAACACAATTAGAAAAGCATATGGAATTAAAATTCCAACTATCCTGTCCAAAGTGCTTCAGATTGTGATTCATATATGAAATGTAAAATAGCATATTTTCATGATTCAGTGCTCTCTTCACCAACCATGAACCAGAGAAACATCTAAGCAATAAAGCTCAGAGAATCAGTGCTAAGTGACATGTGGAGAGCGATCTAGATTTAAAACGTCAGAGGAAAGGAGTAACAAGGATATACCTTATCTACATCAACTAAAGGAACATTTATTTGAAAAGATGGGTCCAACCATTCTTGTCGCAGTGAGGATACCTGAAACCATACCAAGAAAAAACTTATTGATTCATATATCCAAAAATATTTTCGACAATTTATATAGACAATGTTCAGAATTCTAATAAAAATTGCAGTGTAAGTTAAGTGATTGGTTCAAGAATGGCCGTCCAGGGCAGAGCACTCAGCCATAAAGGAGACCAAGAGAGAACACATATACACACAACAACTGCCAACCAGTTAGTTTCATCATACCATCACTTAATGTGTGTATGTATAATTTAGAGGAACTTGCCTCAGATATGTCATCTTTCCAGCTCAGGTTCCTAGTAGTTATCCACCAAGTTCAGAACAAAGAGAGGGCATTTTTTTCCCAGCAAATGAATAGCCATTCCTCTAGAACATAAAAGTCTTTTAATTTTAAATACATGAGCAACTTAAAGAAGAGCAGTTATAGCATTTCATTCACATCTTCTACTGCAATATTCTTTATTTATGGAACATAGCAGAATCTGATCACCTAACTAATTCTAACTAACTGTTTCAACTAATCAACTGCAATCACAAAATGTGCCATATATCATTTTTAAAGTGTCTCAAAGAAAGAGATATCATCAACAATTGAAGTTTTGTCTTTCTCTAATTCCTTGAACATGTATCACTTCTAACTGATGTAAGAATCTTAAAATCATCCATATCAATTCAGCATTAAGGAATATGCAGAATATAGACCTACTGAAACTTCACTAAATTTAAAATGGCAGCTCAGATTTAGAGATATTAAAAGAAAATAGTAATTACATTTCCATTGGAATCAACCACAATATTTCCACCATGTTTGTCTGTCTCTTTGGCATGCATTGAACATGAAGACTGGCTCCCAGTACTTAGCTGATGGCAAGCCTCAACGTCCACCTCCTGTGGTTATCTACAGAGTCAGATTTCTAAATGGGAAAAGAAAAATGATTGAACCAACCACACATAGCAATTCTTATTTATCAAATCAATAATGGGTTATAAATGTTCCAGAAACCTCATCAACACAGACTGGTACTGATGATCTACATGTCTCAATACAACATTCCCCACGATCTGGTCGATCATTTGCTGGAGAACATATTTCAGTTCTTGAGGTAGACTCACACAAGCAAGCATTATTTTCTTTTGTGGCATGACCTTGGGTGTGTCCAGGGTGCAGGCTTTCATCCACATCTATGTCCTGGCTGATATCAACTGGGGGCTCAAATGCCTGCAAAAGTTTGCTATATCATGTCAAAACAACATTAAAAGATAAAAAAGGATTTCTCAAAACAAGAAGTTAGCTCTTACCTGAAGCATGTTGAATATGAAATAAGAATTTACGGAGATACACCTGTGGTCATGTGATCACCAGATTATGTTAGTTGAAGTTTACAGTTTACATTAACCACTAGAGATATACTTATATCACTCCAATCCAATTTGATTTAAGCTCTATTTAAAAGCGTGGGAGAGTGGGCTTGCCATCAGCAGCCCATGAATCAATGTTTAATCCTAATCCTCTAGGGTCATTTAACCATAAATGTTGTAACTGTCAAATTGAGATAAAATCTGACCATTATCCTATCCCGTGATTCTAGGAGCTGTTTAGGGAAACCAAATCAGCCTACAATAATAAGGAATATACCCCCTTGACCTATATATCATGTTAAATGCTATTCAGTAAATACAGATAGTGAATTATTCTGAAATCTTTTATGGTATCAGGGCAGTGATGCAGACACGCTCTCAATGGCATTCAAGGCTGCCCTTCTGCAGCCACATGCCTTTGTTGCCTTCAGCACCAACTCCGACTATCGATCATAGCAAGGGATGCCAACCCTAGTCCCTTGTGTGCTCTCTCAATTTACGCCATGAACCAATGTTTAACCCTAATCCTCTAGGGTCATTTAACCATAAATGTTGTAACTGTCAAATTGAGATAAAATCTGACCATTATCCTATCCTGTGATTCTAGGAGCTGTTTAGGGAAACCAAATCAGCTCTACAATAATAAGGAATATACCCCCTTGACCTATATATCATGTTAAATGCTATTCAGTAAATACAGATAATGAATTATTCCAAAATCTTTTATGGTATCAGGGCATTGATGCAGACATGCTCTCAATGGCATTCAAGGCTGCCCTTCTGCAGCCACATGCCTTTGCTGCCTTCAGCAGCAACTCCAACGATCAATCATAGCAAGGGGCACCAACCCTAGTCCCTTATGTGTTCTCTCAATTTCCGGTTACCCATCGCCTAAATGGGCATAATTACCTACAGTGGTCTCAATATGTGTTGATGTTTGTTCGGGGTCGCAATAAGAAGAAATATCTTACTAAAGCTCTATCAGCATCCATCGACTCCCAGTTTGCAACATGGCGTGCAGAAAACAACCTAGTAATGGCATGGCTTATTAACTCCATGATTGCCAATATAGGTGAAAACTACCTTCTCGCCACGACAACCAAAGAGATCTAGGATTCCACTAAAGCCACCTACTCTGTCACTGAAAACACAGCAGCTCTATTTCAAGTTGAGCGGCAACTCCATGACTTAACCAAAGCTGAACAAACTGTTACCCGATATTATACCGCTATAATGAAAATTTGGCAGCAAATAGACCTCTATGAGGTCCATGGATTGCCAAGCATTGCAGCAGCCATGTACTACAAAACACTAATGAATCAAGAATGCTGCTATAAGTTCCTTCTTTGTCTTGATGATTCCCATGAAGATGTACAAGCCAGAATCATGAGTCTCAGGCCGCTTCCACCACTACTTGAAGCATTCAACACTATTAGGCCTGAGGAAAGCAGAAAGGTATTGATCACTGCCTCTCATATTCCCTCTAATTCAAGTAACTCTTCTACTCTTGCAATCAATGGCCCACAAAGCGATCCCAAAGCCAAAAAAGGTTAATAAGTGGTGTGACTGTCATAAAAGTGGTCACACCCAAGAGGTGTGCTGGAAGCTGCATGGCAAGCCTCCAAACAACAAGCTGATAGGCAAACCTGGTAGCAAGGGAATGATGATAGGTGCTACTTCTAATGATAAGCACCTGCCCTCGACTTCTAACAGTGATAACACTATGCCTTCTGTCACTCTAGCCCATGCAGGTACTGCCCTTGCTTATGCTTTTCATAGTCTAACTACACCTAAAAATCTATGGATTATAGATTCTGGTACAACTCACCACATTACTGAATTTAAGGAATTATTTTCTAAATCTAGTAATTTTTTCTACAAGATAATGGAATAATAAATTTAGTAATTTTTCTAAAAAGAAGGTAAAGTAAATTTACCGGCGCAATCTTTGAATCTTTATAGGATAATGGAGTAATAAAGCCTAAAAAAACATAAATAAGAAAGTTAGATACAAAAGGTAACATTATAATAAACCAAAAAACAAAAACAAAAAGAAACACATAATTTAATTAGAGCAACATAAAAGCTAGCCAGCTGAGAAATAATCAAAAAAGAAATCAGATAGGAAGTAGCCATTAGTTAAAAAAACAGGGAAAACATCGAGATTCAGTAGCGAAATAACCTCATCTTCATGGGAAAATATCAACAGAGAATGAAAAGAGAATAAGGATATTGTTGTTCTAGGGTTAGCCTTTGATTTGATAATGAAGTTTACTTTGAATTAAAATTAGAATTCAGGTTCAAAGATAAACATAAAAATAATATTTTAGTAGAATTAGAATTGGAAAATAATTTTTATTACCTTTGTTTTACTTTGAATATTATCAACTTAATATTATCCTCATCTTTTGTGTTATCTTTTGTAGGGATTAGGATTAAATATTATTACTTTTGTTTTACTTTGAATATTATCCACTTAACATTATCCTTATCCTTTATCTTACCTTTTGTAGGGATCAGGATTAAATATTATCTTCCATTGTGAATCGGCAGTTACCTTATGAGCTATAAGTAACACTGTTAGTTGTTCTAGGCCAATAGAGTTAACAGCTATTGATTTGATAATAAAGATTTCAGATTATCAACAGTTTCCTTCTCCCCCTTCATTTCTTTGGAACCTCACTCTTCTTTACTCTCACCCTATTTCTCTATATTCTTGCTACTGTTCTCCATACCTTATGTGCAGGTGGAAGTTTCCTAAAAGATCTTTCATATCTTCTGACATCCTCTTCTGAAGCGTCTGGATAGCTGCATCGAAGTCAATGAAAATGGTAGTCCATTTGCAACTTCCAATGAAATAGATGACAAGCACAAACCAAGTTTAAAACATTATGATAGCATAATAACATAAGGAAAAAGATAAAGACCAGCATCAGATTTTACAGATGCGTAAAAAATACACACAAATTTCAAGTTATATTGGCTTGCATTTTCATCATGAAAAAATATGCCTAAGGGTGCGTTTAGTATGAGGGAAAATGAGAGGAGGGGAGGGAAAATTTTAATAAGCTCGATTTAAAAAATTAAAAAAGGGGTAAAAGCTTTTAATTAATTTTTATTACTCTTTTCTATTACTTCTTCTCTTTATTAAAATTTCAAAACCCCACTTCTCTAATTTTTTAAATAGAGCTCATTAAAATTTTCCTTCCTATCTCCTCCCCTCCATTTCCCTCATACCAAACAGTACCTAAAATGAAGGGTCACAATTTAAAAAACAGATATGGAAGAAACAAGCAATGTTCTGCCAGTTTTATACAAGTATATTTATTCGTAATATGACACATGGAAGTCATTTCAATGCAATCAGGCTGTTATCAAAATGAAGTACATAAAATGAAAAAGTAGAAAGAAAAAATCACTTTTAGTAAAGAAATCTGATCTGATATGACTGTCAGCTTGTACCGATAAGAGGTAAGCTTCTGAATTATATTCAAATCATTCCACAGAACCAAAATATACACAGGGGTCCCCATTAATAGTAGTATGAGTACATTACAAACAGGTTAGTTGCTCTGAACCAGACTCTTCCTTATTCTTTCTCAGCTAATTAATTTCTAAATCAGCACTCCACCAATCCTCACCAATATTTCCTCGCATATCAACACCTTTCTCTATATCGACATCATCTTGTCCATGACATCATAATGATGCCAGAGAAAAGAATCTCATCCTTTTCTAAGAATTAAACAATGTTTAATTATGCTAAAGAAGGTTGTGGTGCAGCAAAATGAAGCAAAATATAGTGGAAGTCATTTCAATTTATAACACACTTCATTACAACAGAAAGAAAACATAAATGAGGCTTCATTCATCTCTCAACAAATATTGTTCCCCACTTCGCTTAAGAGATTAAAAATTGCTTCAACTTTTAACAAGAAAGGTTCTTTCAGACCATATTTTATCTCTACCCTTGGGGACAAAAATATTCGTCTGAAGCACCAAAAAAAGAAAAAGTCAAAAACAATCTCAAACTTGACAATTTCCAGACCTTATTCCCCTCCGACAGAATTGAAGAAAAACAAAGACTCGAAATTTTAAATAACTATTTCAAAAGACATCTAGTCGCTATTCAAGGGAAATATCATTATGATCACTTCATCTGAGTGAAACCCGCAGCAGTCCCCGCTCATTCTATCAAAAGCTCTCACTGGTCATTTCAAAGGACTAATGGCCCAGAAGTGCCAACCCAGGCTTTGTCGCAAACGATGTCATGGTCAGCACAAATTGGTTCAGCTTAAATTAAATAACATACCAAGATAACCCTGATTATTGCTAATTAAGCTTATAGATATATTTTCTTCCAAACAAAAAAGAAAATAACAGTGAATAACCTGCTAGAAAATGTTACGAAGAAATGGAAGGAGTGAATCATACTTGAGGTAAGCACTGATTATACGCCTAAGGGATTTGATTTCCAGAGCTTCTTCAAGCTTCAATCGACGACGCTTCTCCGCGTCTTCTACGCCTTCCACTCTAGACATCTCGTGAGGACCTTCTCGCAGCCTAGTTCTGAAATTCAGTATGTCTCTCTGGCCTTCAGTGTTTGGAAACTTAGGCATCAGTATAAAATTTGTACCTAGTAAATATAGGATTCAGATTCTTTTCACTGTGGTTCGCATCCTCTTTCCTCCCACTGCTCTCTTTTTTTTCGGATCAAAATTTTAATAGTCCAAATTTAACATCTTATAAAATAAAAAATTGACAGATAAAGAAGTTTAAAAATGTGAAATGTCAATTTAAAAAGCTAAGGAGATATAATTACACATACGGAAGCGGGAAGCCCTTCCCAAATTGAAATTTTAAAATTCAGTAAAATAACAAAAATGCCCTTTGTTCTTCTTTTTAAAAAAAAAAAAAAACTCAGCCCCTCATCGGTGGCCGGCGGCTGCCGACCACCGGTGTGGTGGCTATCGGTGAAGGATTTTTGTAACAATATTTTTTTTTTTTAGAATGGGATAATATTGGTTCAAAGTAGGGGTGGGAATAGGCCAGGCGGCCTGTCAGGGGCCTATAGCCTGGCCTGCTTTCGGCCTGATCAGGCCAAGCCTGTTAGAAAATAAACACAGGCTCAGGCTTTTTTCAAGGCCTATTTCACCTAACAGGCCAGGCTCAGGCTCTATGAGAAGCCTATTAAGCCTGTCAGGCGGCCTGGGCCTGTTAAGTATTTTAAATATTATATGTACATTATGCAAAAGATAGGTCTCGAAGTTAAGACCTGATGAGAAGAATGCAGCACCTCCACCACCAGACCAACGTGTGTTGTTAATATGTTTTCGCATAATATATAAGTTTAAAGCTACTTAAATAAATTGGCAAAAAAATTATTTGCTCCACACAAACTAAGTTCCATCAGACCAATAGACCATCGCGGACACACAACTTCCCCTAGGTTTAGCATTTTCGCCTCTGTTCATCGCAACTCGCCGAGAGCTCGCCGGCACCACCGCTCTTCTTAGTTCTCGCAACCGCTCTTCTTAGTTCTCGGAATCTCAGTCAAAGACTATCTCAGATTCAGTTTCTAGAGCTCGTCGGCACCACCGCTCACTCTCAAGTCTCCATATCCGAGCTTCAAAAAGTTGAACGGTCGGCCTTCATTCAGACCTTCGGTGCTCGCGACGTCGGCTCCTCCTCCTCGTCAGTCTCCAGTTCTCGCGACATCGACTCCTACTCTAGTGCTCGTGAGTCGTGACGTCTGCTCCGATCTCCAGTGGTCGCGGCCCTGTCTCCAGACTCCAGTGCTCGCAAGTCGCAAGTCGCAACATCGAGTCCTCCTTCTGGTCAGTCCCCAGTCCCCACTCCTCAGTCATTATCATAAAATAAATGCCGTGTCTGTTGATTCTGTGCTAAACTGGAAAATGCCATGCTGAATTGATTCTGTGCTAAACTGGAAAATTAATCCCCGCTTGAAGTGTTCATTTTTATTCTGCTTTTGATCATAAAATAAATGCTACGTGCTAAACTGGGAGCTATTTTCAAGTGAATTGATCCATCGCTATTTTCTGTGCTTTTGTTCATTTTTATTCTGCTTTTATTAGGCGGGGGTGGAACCGTGGAAGGCAGAGGGAGTTAGATGGGATAGGAATTTTTTGGGGAGGGGAAGGGGGGTGGCCAGAAGAAGAAGTCGGTGAAAGCTGGGAGCTATTTTCAAGTGAATTGATCCATAAATGAATTATACTGTTTGCAGAATTGATCCCCAGTGGTACCATGAAGCGAATACATGATTTTAGTTAATGCTGTACTGATACATGATTTTTTTTTCAATTTATTGTTCTGATTTTTTGCATCAATAATGGAATGCTAATATATGCTGTATGTTTCATTTCCAGTTAATGTCATCTCCGTTTGAGAGTGAAACAATGTCATCTAATTCAGTTCCTTCTAACGCTATTGTGGCTAGTCAACAAACACCAACAGATTCTAGTCAACAAACTAACGAAGGAAATGATGTTAATGATAGTATTATTCAAAAGAAGAGGCGAAAAACCTCAACCATTTGGGAGGAGTTTGATCAAGTTGAAACTGATAATGGGATCAAAGGGAAATGCAAGTATTGTAAACAACTATTCTCGTACTCAGGGAAGGGAGCTAGTACTAGCCATCTTCGAAGACATGTCACTGTCTGTTTGCAAAGAAAGTTGCTTGTTTCTTCACAAAGCAAGCAACCCACAATTCCATTTCAATCTTCCAATCTGAGCATTAATCCATTTTTGACACCGGGTGCTAGATATTCTAATGAAAAGATGAGGGAAATAATAGCTACTGCAATCATGGTGCATGAACATCCTTTTAATATTGTTGAGGATGAAGTTTGGATGTGGGGCTTTCAATATGCAAATTCTGAATTTCAAAAAGTATCTCGAAAGACAGCAAGAAATGATTGTTTAGCGATATATGAGGCAGAGAAGAAACAATTGAAGGCCTTATTAGAAGGTGTGAACAAGATTAGTTTGACTACTGATATGTGGAAATCAGCTCACCAAGTAGCTGAATACATGGTCATCACCGGGCATTTCATTGATTCGGGATGGAATCTTCAGAAGCGAGTTTTGAGTTTTGTGAAAGTTCCTGCTCCTAGACGAGGCATTGATGTGGCAGATGCTATTTTCAAGTGTTTGAAGAGTTGGGGTATTGAAAACAAAGTGTTCTCTGTGTCAGTTGATAATGCTTCTTACAATGATTCTTGTTTAAGAGCTCTTAAGGACACTTTATCACTTAGTAGTTCATTACCTCTAGGTGGTGATTTGTTTCATGTTAGATGTTGTGCACACATATTAAACTTAATGGTGCAAGATGGCCTTGGAAGAATTAGGGACATTATACATAATGTTCGAGAGAGTGTGAAATATATCAATTATAATGACTCAAGGCTGAAAGCATTTTGTGATGTTGTTGAGCAGAAACGTTTGAAGGAAAGAAAGCTTATTCTTGATTGTCCAACGAGGTGGAATTCGACATATAGGATGCTGTCTATTGCTTTGAAGTTTAAGGTTGTCTTTCCTGATTATAAGGAAAGAGAGCCACATTATAACTATGCACCATCAGAAGAGGATTGGAATAAGGTTGAGAAGATTTGTAAACTTTTAGAAGTATTCAATCTAGCCACCCATATCATCTCAGGTAGTGAGTATCCTACTGCAAATTTGTACCTTCCTGAAGTGTGGAGAGTGAAGCAAGTAATTGACAATGCTATAGAAGATGGTGATTTCTTCATAAGAGAAATGGCAGCTTCAATGAAAGAGAAGTTTGACAAATATTGGGGAGAATGTAATATGCTAATGGCCATTGCAAGTGTTTTGGATCCCAGGTGCAAATTATATGTTGTTAATTATTGCTTTCCTTTGATTTATAAGCCTGATTATGTGGCTTCTGAGAATATAGATAAAGTGGTGAGTGCTTTGAGATCAATGTATGATGAGTATGTAAGCATGTACAAAGGAGACACAATGGGTAATAATGAAGTTGATAATGCTGGTAATAACTCTTCTGCCGATGCATCTGGTTCTTCTATAGTTACTGGATTTGATCAAATCATGAGTATTGTTCGTGAAAAGCAAGCAGTCCCACCAATGAAATCAGAATTGGAAGCTTATCTTGAGGATGGTGTTTACATTCCTGATGGTAATTCTAACTCCTTCAGTGCCTTGGAATGGTGGAAAAATAATAGCATGAAGTATAAGATTTTATCTAAGATGGCTGCTGACATATTAGCTATTCCAATCTCAACCGTAGCATCGGAGTCCACTTTTAGTGCTGGAGGTAGAGTTATCGATGAATATCGTTCCAAATTGAATGAAGAATCAATTGAAGTGCTTATTTGTGGTGGGGATTGGCTTCGCAATAAGTATGGCTTGAGGAAAAAACCAAAGGTATAAATTTTGTACTGTAAAAGTTATATCGTTTCTTATTCTTCTTACTTCTTAAATTGTGATATGATCTAATATTATACATTTGATTTGTTTTTTTTTTGAAGGTGCTCGAACAAGATGAAGAAATTATATTGAAAATTTGATGATTTGCTACTGGTGGCTATTCTTCTTAAACTTGTTTGTAATGTTGTTGTACTTGGTATGTTCTTGTTGAATGTTAATTAATAACATTATTTCAACTTGTATTTTAAGTACTTGAGTTGTGGATTGTGATTTTATTTGAGTTTATTTAGTTGTATGTTCTCTCTCTTTTTTTCTTGTTTGGCAACTATGTTTCAGATCACAAGTGGCCTGTTTCGGCCTGTTTAAAGACATAGGCCTGTATTCTGTTAAGGCCTGTTCTCGGCCTATTTAAAGGCCTGTTCTCGGCCTGTTTAAAGGCTTAAGCCTGTGTTTCAATAGGCCTGTTAGCCTGTTTATAGATTTTTAAAAGATACAGGCCTGTTAACAGGCTTCAGGCCAGGCCAGGCTCTTATATAGGCCAGGCTTAGGCAAAAAAAAAAGCCTTTAACAGGCTACAGGCCAGGCTCAGGCCTATTTGTTACAAATCAGGCCGAGCCTGTTAAGACGATGGCCTGGCCTGGCCTAGCCTGTTCCCACCCCTAGTTCAAAGTGGCAGGGTGGGATTTGATCCCACAACCCCTTGGCTACTTGGGCCAACAAAAGAAAAGATGGCCATTGGGCCATCAGATTTATTTACCTTATAGTACAAACAAAAATATAAGTTAACTCTTTTACTTTAACTCCAGCTCGTGACAACAATTTATCTGAGGATGACAAGTCTTAATTGAGAAATAACAAGTCTAAATTTGATATTAACAAAGCAACTTTTCCTTATACATAACAAATAGTAGCATGTGCATTAATTAAAAATGACACGTCTTTACTGGAAAATGACAAGTCTAAACTTGATATTAACAAAGCAATTTTTCCTCATACATAGTAAGAAATAGCATGTACGTTAATTAAAAATGACCATAATTTATTTGAAAATAACACATCTTTACTGGAAAATGACAAGTCTAAACTTGATATTAACAAGGCAACTTTTTCTTATACATAACAAAAAATAGCATGTATGTTAATTAAAAATGATCATAATTTATTTGAAAATAACACGTCTTTACTAGAAAATGATAAGTCTAAACTTGATATTAACAAGGAACCTTTTTCTTATACATAACAAGAAATAACGAATAAATTGTTGTTATTTTCCAGTAAAGACGTGTTATTTTCAAATAAATTATGGTCATTTTTAATTAACATACATGCTATTTCTTGTTATGTATAAGGAAAAGTTGCTTTGTTAATATCAAATTTAGACTTATTATTTCTCAATTAAGACTTGTCATCCTCAGATAAATTGTTGTCACGAGCTGGAGTTACAGTAAAAAAGTTAACTTATATTTTTGTTTGCACTATAATATAAAGAAATCTTTGATGGCCCAATGGCCATCTTTCCTTTTGTTGCCCTAAGTGGCCAAGGGGTTGTAGGATCAAATCCCACTCCTGTTACTTTGAACCAATATTATCACATTCCAAAAAAAATATTGTTACAAAAATCCTTCACCGGCAGCCACCACACCGGTGGCCGGCGCTGGTAGCCAAAGGCGGTCGGCGACCGCCGGAGGCCAGTCCTCGGCACCGGACGCTGGTGAGGGGCTGAGTTTTTTTTAAAAAAAAAAGAACAAAGGGCATTTTTGTCATTTCACTGAATTTCAAAATTCCAATTTGGGAAGGACTTCCCTTTGTGTAATTACATTTCTTAGCTTCCCAAATTGGCATTTCACATTTTCAAACTTCTTTATCTGTCATTTTCCCTTATAAAAATTATATTATTAAAAAAATAATAAATAAATTTAAACTGTTAAAATCTGGTCTAAACAATTTATATCTATAATAAAAAAAATTTAAAAAATTTGCTCTATAATAACAATCTGCAGTTATGAACTGTTCAAATTTGATTTTAATTGTTTAAATTTATTTATCTATTTTTTATGATAATAATTATTTTTATAAAATGTTATAAAATATTAAATTTGGACTATTGGAGTTTTGATCTAATGGTTGTGAAGGGAAAAAGAGGATAGTGGAGGGGAAGAGGATGGGAAGGTTAGTAAAGAGAATCCAAGTCTACAAAGAAAAATGAGAAAATCACAAATGAAGACAATGAAATATATAAAATTATAATTGGAGCTTTTTAATTTACAAAATTGCTACCGACCCTCTATCCTTTTTTATAAGTAATATTGGACCTCATCACATAAATTAAAATATTACTTAAAATTGACTAAAGATAATAAATGTGTAGAAATTAAAAGTTTTTTTTCTAAAATATCTTTATTTATAGGGGAAAGAGAATATAAAAAAGAGAATAAGAAAGTTGTTATGATAAAGAAAATTATGGAAGAGATAGAATGTGTAAGGAAGAGATAATAGTTTAGGAAATGAGATAATAAATATATTGAGTATTAAAATAAATAATTAATAGGGACAAAATAGAGAATTCGCTACAAAAATTTAAAACAACTTACAAATGCTACTTATATTTTAGAACAAGGAGAAAATGATAGTTGTTGTTTATAAAAAAAACGAAAGGAGTATAAATTATGAAATATTAGGAAAGAGATGAAAGTCCTCTTCTTTTTCTTTTTTTTTAATCTCATCGTTTCTTTCTCTTTCCTTCTCCTCTCCCTCTCCCTCTCCCTCTTGGCCGTTCTTGCCAGCGTATACTAGTGGTAACAATGTCGAAAGAAAGACATGAGGCTGAAAAGCAAAGTTCCCAATAAATTCTTCCCTGTTTCCAAGATTCGTAGTAGCTAAAATGGTTTTGTCAATGGTGCTTGCTCTAACTGTGAGAAGCCAAAGGGATCCATTTAATATAGAGCCACTAGAAGTACCAAAGTTTCCAGCCGCATTGCTCACAAATATTCCCTTCCGAATTGCTATAAATGAGCCAATCGAAATGGTGTCGTTAAAGAACGGTGATTCTTTTAGATTTCGCTCACTAGTTGACACTAGGAGGTGTTCTTTATCTATACAGGTTGATGAATTCAACACATTGCATCATGAGGAAGAAGAACAAGCCTAAACAAGCTTTGTGTTTGTATATTTATATGTGAAATCATCTATCCATTGCTCGATCTAGTACCGCAATCGTCCTCCAAGTTTTAAACAATGAATCAAAATTTTTTGCATGGTTGATGATTCTTGTTGATTCCATCTCTTCAATTCAAGTTTTTCAAGATCCCTTCTATTCAACTTGATTTTTAGGAAAATGACATTGAGGTCCCACAGAACCAAAAATACAACAAATAGGTCCCCTGAAATGTCATAATATTTTTGAAGTCCCAAAGGGACTTAGATGCAATTTTCAGAATGCACAAATTACTCTCTTGCCCTGCCCCTGCTATCAGAAAAAGAGACGGGAGAAGTTCATTTGGTGAGGATTTCCCACACAAAATTATCATGGTGAAGCTTTTGTAAATGCGAGGATTTCCATGGGTGAAGAAGATGTTGAAGCTTCTGTAAATGCGAGGAATATGACAAATCTTCAGGTGTGGAACTTTCTTTTCTCTCCTCTCCTACCTTTCTTGACAAATTGTACATTTGTTTGGGAATGGGAAATCAAAAAATTGTTTTTGCCTTTGGTATTTCAAAGCTTTTGTTTTTTGTTTAGGATTCAGAAGTTAATGAATGGAAAAGCTGTGTTTTTGGTTGGTGTGTGTTGTGATTTAAGTTGGGTGTGTAGAATAATAATGGGTGCTCTGTTTTTGGGTTGTTTTTGGGTGGTTTTTCTCTATTCTGACGTTAGTTTAGTGACAAAGGAAGAAAAAGATAAAGGTTAGTGAGGGTAGAAACCCTTAGCATGAAATGGGATTGTGTTGTCAATCAGGCTGCGATAGTTGTCAACGCGTGCCGCGAAGTTGTCAATATAGCTCCTTAAGTTGTCAATGACAGTTGTGTGCTTCTTGATGCAGGTTTAAGTTACTGATGGCAAGTATGTCTAGAAAACATCTAGTTTGCTTTGTTCACATAGGGGGAAAGTTTATAAATGATGGAGAAGATGATATGAGATATGTGGGAGGTAGTGTAAGAACAACAAATATAAAAGAGGGCACAAGTTATGAAGAATTGAAGGTATCATCAATTACTGGAAAAGAAACCAACTCATTTCTTTTGAAATTCTCAGTTGTGTTTGATAAAAAAACTTTTGTGGAGTTGGTAGATGATGATGGGGTAGAACATTTGATAAAGTTTAATGAAGAAAGCGGTCATGTGTATGTAGAAGAGACTGCAAATAAGGACCACACAGAAGCAACAAGGGATAATACAATGGAGGAGCAAGATGTGTAAGTTTAGTTTAACAAATTTGTTATTGTCATTTCTTGGTATGTCAGTTGTTACTGTCTTACTATCAACTTGTCAATGCATGCACCCTGACTTGTCATTTCCTGCAGGATTGATCAATCATTTGGAGGTGTCAATGAATTGTCTATGTCTCCACCTACCTCATTTGATGTGATTGGAGAGCCATCATCAATTCTTTGTGCTGTTGAAATGATCCTAACACCTACACCACAAATGAATTCCACAAAATGGAAGGATTTGATTATTGGAGAAGGACAAATATTTCCAAATGCCACTACTCTCCGAGAAACATTGTACAAGTACAACCTATCCCAGAAGTTTTCATACCTTTTTATTAAGAATAATTAGCAAAAGATCATTGTGAAGTGCAAGGTTGATGGTTGTCCATGGTATATGGGTGCATATTCAATGGGAGCACATCAAGATATTGAGTTTTTAACTATCAGAACATACAAAAGTGAACACATTTATCATGCACACGACAACTTAATTGTTTCTCACTCAGGAAGGTCAAATTTAGCTGCTTCAATTGTGATTAATGACTTGAGGTGCAATGTTGACAAGAGTCCTAATGAAATTAGAAAGGACTTGTATAAAGAATATGGAGTGCAATTGAACTATACTCAAGCATATAGGGTCAGGAAGAGAGCACTAACAGAATTACATGGTCGAGTAGAAGATTCTTATAAGGTAATCCCTTGGATGTGTGAGAGATTAATGGAAACTGATCCTGATACAGTTGCAAGATGGGAAGGCTCATATAGCAACCGATTTGAGAAGCTCTTCATTGCATATGGATGCTCAATTAAAGGCTTTGTGTAAGGTTGCAGACCAATTATTTATATAGATGGATGTCATTTGAGTGGTTCTTACAAAGGAACTTTATTATTTGCTTATGCATTTGATGCAGACAATGAGTTATTTCCCTTAGCATATGGTATTGTTAGCAGAGAAACAAATGATGAGTAGACTTGGTTTCTACAGAATCTGAATGAGATAACCAGATTAGCACAAGTGACAATTGTCTCAGATCGGAGTAATGCTATCATCAGTGTTGTTAGGACAGTATTTGATGATGAGAGACATGCTTTTGCTATGGACATGTGAAAGAAAATTATAGTGCACAGTATGTGAAAATCAATAGAGGTGTGAGACAAACCTCAGAAAATAACAAGGAGAATGCACTTAATTTACTTGATGGAATCGCATATGCAAGGCATGACAATGAGTTTAATGTTGCAATGGGAAATTTAAGATTGTTTTGTCCACAATTGGCACAATGGGTTGAATCTCATGGGGATGTGGATAGATGGGCGCAAAGTAAATTTCCTTTTAAGAGATGGGATAATATCACCAATAATCTTGCTGAGTCTTTTAATGCATGGATGTTGAAAGAAAGGAAGCATGCCTTGCCGGTTTTGATACAAGAGCATCAAGAGAAGTTGGCCAAGAAGATGGTTGCTAGCAAAATGGGGATGAGAAGCGGGAAAAATGGTATAGGACCTAATATTGAATCAAAGTTGTCGGAACAAATAGCAAGAGGTGCGTATATGGAGGCAACATATTATGGTGATAACCATATTTCAGTGCAAACAATGTGTGAGGGACGCATCATCTATGTGACTGTTGATCTTATTTCTCACAGATGCACATGTTTGGCATAGCAAATGAGTGGAATACCTTGTCCACATGCGTGTGCGACAATCAAGCTAGTTCACCGTAGCGTGTATGATTATATAGATGACTGTTATAAATTGTCCACACAGGAGAAAATATATGAAAATAGCATGAGGCCAATTGCAACGCATGATTGCCCACAGCCGGATGCACCCACTGTGACTCACATGCTGACTTAAACATTCTTGCATCCACCCATAACTAGAAGGCTTCTAGGAAGGCCAAGGATTAATAGAATAGAATCTCAATTCCAAAATAAGAAGGTTTATCATTGTGAAAGATGCAAAAAGCCTGGACACACTACAAGACATGCAAGAACCCAAATCCCAGTTGAGAACATAATGAAATCAGCTATTTTTTGTATATGAATGTGAAGGGAATATTTTGTAAATGGGTGTGAAGGGAATTTTTTGTAAATGGATACACACCAATAGTTAGTTTCTCGTAATTACATGCAACCCCTGTGTTTTTTTGGGTGGGTTGTGAAATAGGGGTAGTTTCATGTATATGAAGGTGTAAATGAAAGTTGACTATGAATTGGCATGTTAGATTCTATTGTCATTTAAGTTGTCATTACCTGCACCCTGTATTGTCATTAGACCTGTTATGACTTGTCAATGGAGCACTGTTACTTGTCAATTAATTTGCTGATGTAAGTTGTCAACAATATGAATTCAAGTTACATAACTTGTTTTAGTAACATATGATATTTTCAATCACTCTGTCATATTATATTTTTGGTTATTTATCATATATAATCATTATTAATGAAGTGTCAATGGTGGCACTGACTTGTCAATGGTGGCATAGTGACTTGTCAATCATGGCACTAAGACTTGTTAATGGTGGCACTGTGACTTGTCAATGGTGGCACTATGACTTGTTAATGGTGGCACGGACTTGTCATTGGTGGCAATGTGACTTGTCAATGGTGGCACTATGACTTGCCGATGGTGGCACACTGACTTGTCATTGGTGGCACTATGACTTGTCAATGGTGGCACACGGACTTGTAATTGGTGGCAATGTAACTTGTCAATGGTGGCACTGTGACTTGCCAATGGTGGCACACTGACTTGTCGTTGGTGGCACTATGACTTGTCAATGGTGACACACGGACTTGTCATTGGTGGCAATATGACTTGTCAATCGTCGCACCGTGACTTGTCAATGGTGGCATTGTGACTTGCCAATGAAGCACTGTGACTTGTCAATGGTGGCACTGTGACTTGCCAATGGAGCAGAGTGACTTGTTAATTGAACATAACTCTGAGTAACACCTTCTGAATAATTATATTTTAATATAAATATTACTTAACATTATAAATAAATAACACCTTCAGTTGTAAAAATTTTGAATATCAATTGTTAATATCCACATATTCATTTGTTATGAAATTGTTATATCACTTGTCATTAACTCATGTTATATTACTTATTAATATTACATAAATTTGTCGATATCAATAAAGATATAAAACAACAAAAATAAAAATGTGACTTGTCCCCAAGAAATTGGTATCATAACATCTGATAACAAAGGTAATAATATTATAAACATAATTTGATCAGTTTGTTACAAAAGGACCTATTGACCATTAAGCTATTGCCACTCATGGCTCACACCCTTAGGTGCTAATCATCTCACAACACATCCTGGCATAACAGAACAAAAAATTAATGGACTCCTTTATCTCCTTCTCTTGCTCTTGTTGTAGTCCAATAGCATTGACATCACTTCATCCCTATGTTCATTTTGTGGATGGGTAACCAACCACCACAAACAGCCAACCTTCAACTCTTGCAATTCATCATTAGAGTATCGTGGCATGGTATATCCTGTAGCATCACGAACAG